AGGACGACACTCCGGCGAGGACTTCTATAGCCTCGCCTTGGGTCTCACACTTTGCTATTCTATGATTCTATGGCATTGCATTTCCAGGGGATTCCAGAGTTGAAAATACTAGTGATATTATAAAATCACTATCAAGTGATGAAAATTATAAATACCTTGGAATACTAGAAGCAGATAACATCCTTCATACAAAAGTTAAAGAACTGACAGTAAGGGAATACAACAAAAGATTGTAGAAAATCTTAAAATCAGTATTAAATGGTAGAAATACAATCACAGCCATAAACACATGGGCATTTCCAGTAATTAGATACCCAGCAGGAAAAACAGATTAGACCAAAGATGAATTGGAATTGTTCTTGTTGTTGTTCTTGTCATCGTCGTCTGTGGTGCATTGTGGTATCATCATCATTCATTTGAATGTTTTGCATAGGCAAATAAGATGTGATGCAACTCACATCATTTGGCCTAGTACCAGTCGGGTAGGACAGGAGGCTGTTTTTGCAGTGAGGCAAAATCTGCCATGTACCCACCATTTGTGAATACTATCCTGATTGGAACATGGGATAGTATGTTGGAAAATAAATCATAAGAGTTCAAACATTTTAGTCTATTTCATATGAAAATAAATCTGGTTATTTTTGTTAATGCTCTTTGGTTCATTTTACAAAAGCTGTGTTTCACATAAAACACAGGCAAGCAATAGAGAGAGCAAATTCAAGTTCTTAGGGAAATAGAGGAATCAGCAAGAACTACTGTCATTTTAAAATCCACACTTTTCAGATTGACTGAATTTAGTTGAAATTTTCCCAAGTACACTGTAATAGAAAACCAGAATACTTCTGTTAATATTTAATACACAAATATTGTGTATTTTTTAATTGTATAAATATACTAAAAGTCTCGTGTATTTTTTTCCTTTCAAAAATTTTTGAAGCTAGTGTAAACTCTACTTGCCACTCTGTGGAACCTTCAGGATGTTTTATCACTTTCCTGTGAGAAATCATCTCAGCATCCAGCAATTTGTGTGTGGAATCATATGGAATAAAATTACATAGGCAGGACTAATAATGGGAATTTGTTGTTTATGCATTATATTAATAGCCTGAAGTTAGTTACAAAATACATGATGTGTTAAGCTTCTATAAACATTTTAAATTACCTTCTGATGTACAAGGGAAATCTTCAAACATATGTATTAAGGAGCACTTTGGCTTTGTCCTTGCTGGGCAGAATTCACTCTAATACACAGAATCCTTAACTACTTTAGATTCTAGTAATGTCTTTCCAGACAGTCAGTATGCAAGTCACAGTGAATTTATCTAGTTTTTAGTTTTATATTTCTTAATGATCTTATTACTCAACAAGAAAGTGTACGTTAGCATTTTGCAATTTAAATGTTTGTATGTTTTCCCTAGATTAGCCTGTACAGTCAGTTTTATTGGGATTAATTGTTCACTCAACTCTACAGTATGACACTTGGTCATGAAGAAACCTATGATTTCATTAATTGTGTTCACAGACGCATACATATATCAAGGTAGCATTATTGTTGGTATTAAGATTTAGAACTTTAAAAAGTCCTATTTCCTCAAACCTGACTTTTTGAGCTTGGCTAAATGTAGCATGATTTCTGGTAATTAGCTCTTGAACAAGGACAGGTTGACTTTTGATTTATCACCATAATTGCTTTCTGTACTTGCCTTCTGAGGAGGTTAACATTGACATCTTTGGGGCAAGTATCCTGAAGTGTTAATTCAGTTATTGAGTAGGCTGATGATTGGGTGGTTATGTTCTAGCTGGGGCGGGGGGGATCTGAGCAACTGATATTCCAGTCTGATAGATCTCTGCAGCTGCAGTGATGAAAAGAGCAGCTTGTGTTCAGGACTGGAAACATCTTTTGAATTTTCAGTGTTGGCATCATGTTTTTACATACAACTGCTCCTATGAGAAATGCACAATATTATATAGTATTTCTTTAGCCAAATGCCATTTACAGTTTGTTTGTTGCATAAGAGCTAAACTGCACAGTACCTGTGGCCACCTATTATTCTAGTAATGAAATTACCCAGGCTGCTATCCTGATGCTATGCCTTGAATCAGGTGGTGGGCTTAGGGCAAGAATCTTTATAAATACATCCTGATGAGAGCAATTCCATCCATGAAACACAAGGGAGGGCATTTTATCTCATACTGCAGCATATGATCTGCTCCAGAAAGTTGGGACTGCCCCAGATCTGTGGGGTATGGGAGCAGAAGGAGGAAGTCCTGCTGAGGATACAAAGAGAGGGGAAGAATTGCCTCCTTCTTCAGTCCTCAGACAGAATTGTTTTTGTCAGCTGAACTACATTGTTGTACCCTGGCCGTAATTTGTATAAATTTCTTTGTGAATGTTTGAATTGGCAGGATAAACAATTTTGAGTAGTTGATGTAACGTACCTAAAGAGTGGGCTTAATTCAGAGGAGGGCAACAAGGATGATCAGGGGACTGAAAACCAAACCCTGTGAGTAAAGACTGAAAGAACTGGGGATGTTTAGCCTTGAAAAAAGAAGATTGGGAGGAGATACAATAGCACTTTTCAAATACTTGAAATAGTGTTGTGGCGTTCACCCTTGTGCCCCCTTTTTTGACCGTCAAGACTCAGAGCACTCAAAGGCAAACAATCCCCTCCTTTACACTGCTGCTGCCAGGTGATCACTAAATCACCATTACTTCAGGAAGATGAAGATTCAGGTCCACACTTCAAAGTCTTTTAACTATAACTTTTGTTTATTGATTACAGAAATTGATAGTGATTCATGAATATCTTCTTTAGGTAAATTTATTATTAACACCAATCTTCTATTTGATAATACACTCCTAACTCTAATCACTCCTCAGATTTCCCCAAACTCCACACTCCATCTCCTCCTCCACTCTCTTACGCTACTCATACTCTCTCCCCTGACACTCTCAGGCTCCACCTCTTATCACATCTCTCCCGGCTCCGCCTCTCAGCAACAAGAATATGCATGAACAATTAACATAACAAACATGAACCATTGACATAATAAAGGGGAACACTACAAGTGTCATACAGAGGAGGACAGGATCCGTTCTTGATCATCCGAGAGTGCAGGACATGTAACAGTGGGTTCCAGCTACAGGAAGCCAAATTTCAGCTGAATATCAGGAAAAATTCCTTAACTGTTAGAGCAGTATGGCAATGGAACCAACATTATCTCAGGAGATGGTGAGTGCTCCAACACTGGAGGCGTTCAAAAAAAAATTGGACAACTATTTGTCTGATGTGCTTTGACTCAATGGCCTTATAGGCCCCTTCCAATGCAATTATTTTATGATTCTAATAGTAAAACTATTTGATGGTAGTTGATGCCACTTTTTTTCTTAGAAGCATCATTGTTTGAATCTCTTACACACTCTGATGTCTACAACTTGAAGACCTGTCTTAACAGAGACATCGTAAATACTTATCCAGAAAATTCTAACAGAATTTATTTTGCACTGGGACACCATTAAGAGAAAACAAATCTGGCCTCAGCGTGCCCTAATGTCATACATTCCTTCCTACCTTTAACTCCACTTGCATGGTTTCCATTTTAAGCTATCTGAAATGTCATACACAGTTTCTTGATCATCTGTTTTCTGGCAGTCTCATCCAAAATCCTGCCAGAAAAATGCTAGCAGCAAAATCTCCTTTATCACCCACTCCTGTCTGTTGCAGAATATATACATGCTTTTTTTGGGGAGAGTAAAATAAGGGTATTTCTCTGTACCAAGGAATTTAGAATTAATCTCAAGACTGTGTTACACAAAAATTTTGGTGGGTTCTAAATTCACTGTAGATGTTTCTTACATGAAGAAGTTATCCTGATTTATATCATATAGACAGAATGTCAGTTGTGACACATGGAAATTCAAAAAATATTGATACATTCTTTATGTCTGAATTTAATTTGTTAGAAATCCTGGTGCTGTAACTTCTGCTGAGTAAGGCTGAGTATGTCAGTGATACTTTTTCAGAAATAAAGCATTCCCAACTTCCAGAATGCAGGACATGAGGGGGAAAGAATTCAACTACAGAAAATTGCCACTGCTACGCATTTTTACCAGCAGTGGTGATATTTAGAAATAGAAGACTTCCCCTTCCTGTCCCACAGCCTCCACGGGTTCTCAATAACGAAGGGTATCACTGGGTAGTTTTGGAGCTTCAGAACAGAATTCAGAAGTGTTTAATTTTAGTAAAATTATTGTTACCGATTACATAATTGACCTTATATGGCGTTAGTTACAGCAACAGGGTTTCAGCAGTATTGAAGCAAAAAATGTAACTATGGATAGGGATATAACAATTATTAATTTACTTTAGCTCAAATATAGGCAACATGAAGGCCATGTGTGATCCCATAATACACACTTCTACTGCTGAATTTGTTGCAGTAGCAAAAATCTGTATTTCCATTTAAGTGTAAACTGAGTACACCTTGTTTTAAAGCATAGATATTATTCTGGAAATGGAGTTGTGCTTTAAAATAATGTGTGCTCCTGACAAGAATTCTGAAAAGTAAATGCAGTTTCCCCCCCCCCCATTGCTACCACACTGATTTTCATCTACAAATATGCCCGTGTGTTTGCAGGGGGTTGCTGCTTGTAGGTTCCAGGTGGACATAATTTGGAAGTTGCTTCTATGGAAGTTGCTCCCTTTCACTTGTCATTTGTTTATTTCCGGAGCCTTTTCCAAACTGATACTTTCAAGTGGTATTGGGCTACAGCTTTCATCCTGAGTAGGCAGTGTAATAATTGGATACACTGGCTGGGGAACAGTGGAAAGTAGGATTGATAAACTTGTGTCTTTGTTCTGTGCCCAGCCCCTGAAAATCAAGAGTAATAAGAAGAAGCAAATATGTAGTTGTTACAGTATTATGAATCAAAATGATAATAATAAAAATCATTTAGTACTTTAAAATGGAATAACAAACTCTTCACCTTTCTTTTACAGTTTGTTTGAACATTCTGGAAGTCTATAGAAACAAAGATAGTAGAGAGCAGATGAATTCAAGGCAAGTGATTTAGTTGGCTTCCCCGTCTCATTGCTCTTCAGGATTACTGCCAGATTGCTGTGGAGATGAATGGAGAACAGCAGCATGAGACAGGTACTGCAATTATAGAACCTGGAGTTATAACAGGTTATCTCAGTTGTAAGCATATTCTGAACACATGAAACTGCATTGCATTCTTAAGACATAGATATTAGGGGTGCAATCAGAAATAAGCTCCACTGAGTTCAGTGGTGCACTCCTAGTATGAATGTTTAGCATTGTATGATCAAATAATAAGCAATAAGTACAATTTTCATGTTGATCACATACATAAATGGCAATTTAGAGTTTTTTCGAATATTTAGCATTCCTTATATTTTGCATGTGTGATTACTATGGTGCCCAGCCTGACGAAGCATATAAAGAGTCAAAAGCTAGCTAATTGTGATTTTTTGAAGTAGTCTAAGAATGCAACCATACCCAGTGTAGTGTGGGACTAGGACTCAGGAGGCTTGGGTTTGAATCGCTCTTAAGCCATGGAAATTCACTCTGGGTGTGGAACTGGCAAATCCTCCTTAAATATCTCACTTAACCTTGAAAGCCCTATTTGAGTGTCTGTAAGTCAGTTCTGACTTGACCACTCATAGCAACGACAGTGCAATCACACTGGAAAAAATTGGGGAAATGCTCTGGGATTGGGATTCACATTCATTTTTTTCTGTTGATTTGCATTCTTTTGTTCTGTTTACCACATGACATAAAAACAAATGCAATTCAGCCCGGAATTTTCAGTCCATATTTTTTGCTTCCACCACTCAATTTTCGCTGGCTCAAGTGATGTGATTGCCTGAACCAATGCAGAAAAGTGTGTGTTGGTGATTGGCACTTATACCACCCCGCCCACTCTTATTTTATTGTATTGTATTTTCGTTTCTCATTCGGCTTGAAATAGCTATGTTGCAATGGTTTCCCCTGCCAACTGCAAATTTACCAACAATGTTAGCAGGAAACTCCTGTGACAGTGTTGATGAGCTCTCTCATTTCCGTCGGCAACGTACATCAGCTTGTGATTTTGGAGAGTCCAGAGAAAGAAGTAGATAAAAAGATGAGGACACAAAAGGAGGAAACTGCCATGCAAACCTTGTTTATAACCTATTAAGTAAATCTGTAGGTGTATACCCTACACAGCTACAGAAGAGCTGTGTTAGCAAGCTGTAAACAAGGACTGCATGGAAATTTACATGTATGGCCAGTTAATTTGAACATAGTTGGGGAAACATGAACTATCTGATATGACTTCACAGCAAGTGAATTCACATTTCCCTCACTGTGTAGTCACATTCTGATAAAAGTATCACCCATCCTTGCCTTCAAATTACTTGTTGACTTCACTGTGTCCCACAGATCTGAATAACACAATTGTTTTTTCTGAAGTAGCTTTATATATTGTGCAGAGCCTTCTTGTCCCCTCTGTCCACTGTGTTTAGATGTGGTGATAAATCTCCCCTACCTCAAGAGTACATGTCTCCCCATTTCCTTTGGCCTAGCTTTCATTTTTTTGTTGATCAGTGATTGTGTCTGAACCTGGACAAACAGTGTTTTATCTTAACAGAGACTAACAGAAACAAATCAAATCCAAACCATGATTTATAAAGCTAGCTTGTTTCAAATTATAATGGTTAAAGAATAACTATCAATTTAGACTCTGAAATAACACTAATGTGTAGCTAATTAGATGATGGAAATTTCCACTATCTGTTCTCACAGTTAATCTAGAAAAGGAGCTTAGAATAGAAGAGGCCAAGGTTGCCTTATATAACAAACCATTAAATGCAAATAAGGCCCAGTGTTTTCCTCATTAAGTTTTCCACCTCTTCTTTTTGTCGTTTTTTAAAATGTAGGGCTTGTAGTTACCTATCTTTGCTGATTTTATTCATAAAGTTTATGCACACTTTACATACCCGGTTCATAGATGTGCGCTTAAATATTTATCTCATAACAGCTTCAGTTTTGTGAAACATCTGTTTAATAATCATAAACTGAGCGATACGTTAGGATTTAGAATTTAACTAATGCTCACTGTGATGTCAGATTTTTCTGGCATAAAATATTGTCAGCTATCGATTTTGAGCATGTGTGGCCTTTTCTCTTTTATGGAACAAATATGCTGACAAAGGGAGTAACACCACAGTATTTAATGTGGGTGATGCAATCTGCCATAAATAGAGACTTGAAATGTTAGAATGTTTCATTAATGTGGAAGCTTGGCTTAATGTGGAGGCTTGGCTTTCTGCCTACCATCTTCACTTTCTGTGAAAACAAGATTTCATCCTGAGTATCCCAGGTAGTGTGCAGATTCGCCTGTAGTAATTAACTGGCTTCTTTTATTATTTATTATTATTTAAAATAATTTGTAGTGTAATTTCTTGTACAGTATTTTCTTATAATGCCATGCCTGTGAATTTTTGTTTTTCCTGCTGTTTTCCATTAATTTTTTAAATGTAACTGTCAGTTATCTATACAGTTACATTAAAAAATTAAAGTTTCATAAAATAATTAAATGTATTTTGGTGTGTACCAGCGGTTTCCCCCCAACCCAGAACCTACATTATGGGAGAGACTAGAGATAGGCAAGTACTGTGTTGGTAAAATTGCTGCTATATACACAGTGCATGATGAGCCCAGGAGAAGAAGGAAAAAATCCATCTAGAAAGAATAAACATAGCCCTAGTATTAGAAATATGCCCACAAAGCCTTGGGAAACTCCAGAGCCCACCATTATCAATATGCAGAATGCAAGATGAAACCATAGCACCCTGTTCTGTCAGTACCAGTGTAGCATAACCATATATAACACCATGGCTACTCTCAGATCTGGACATCTTATAGGAAGGGATTTGAATCTGATACTCAGCCACCAATGATTTATAAGTACTGTATTGTACTGTATATACTATGTTCAAAAACAAGGAAGGAAAAGGCACACACTGTAACAACTACAGAGTTCTTTGAGAAAGAGACCTATAGGGAACACATACAGCTTCCATGGGATAATGATATGTGACACACACACACACACACCCCAAGAGAATTAGCCGGTGTCCTTCTAGGCACATGACATGGATCTCCAAAAAGAACCTCAAGGCATCCCATTGCATGCCACAAGTGACCTTCCTTGGCCTCAAAAGGAACAGAAAATCTGACCAGCAAAGATGTTGTGCCTTTGCATCCTACAAATAATCTTTCCCCATATGTAAGTCTCAACTAGCATAAGTTGCTAAGCAGCTGAAGGGTAGCACCAGCTAAAATATTTTGGATTAGTTTATAATTAGATTAATCTTCCATAACAGTGGTTGGAGCAGTTGAAAGCCCCGTAATAGTAGTTTTTCTTGTGAATAGTCATTGTGGTACAGTAGTCAAATTGATTGATTGGCATTTGGGGGGTCTTGGATGTTGCCACAAATCATGAAGCTAACCAGGTGACCTTGGGTCAGTCACTCAGCTCAGCAGGACCTCGGACAGATAACGTGGGGAGGATGAGAACTGTGTGCTGCTTTGAACTCATCTGAGAGAAGGTGGAATATAAATGTAATTGGTACTGCTTGGGTAACAGCCTATCCTCCATATTACCTTACCCGGGCTTCATGCTCTGGAGAGGACACTCCTCGATTCAGAGCATGTTACCATAGTCTGTCGAGACTGAAGGATGCCTATGCTATGGTACTTAATTGTACAGAGAAGGATGAAGTCTCCAAAACATTTCATGACCCCTCAGTCAATGTATCTTCAATGTATATAAGATTGTACTGTGAATCACTTTTAAACACAGGCCAATAAGGTTTTTAAATAGTGACCAGAATCCTGTTTGATTTTACCATACATACGAGTATGTATGGTAAAAATCAATCTTCTCATTTTAGAGGCCATCCATTGTGTGATTGATTACATAACCAAGCCATGACAAAGTGCAGAATAGACAATCCACAAAGCAGTGCTTACTGCATATTTGGTTACATTTGTGTGCCCAGGTTCTTCAGCAGGGTACGAGCTGAGTGTTGTTCTCACACAGAAACATTTGGATTTTGAATTAAAAAAAACTAGTCAACACAGTTTCCTGGATATATAGTATTAGAAAAACCATAGAAGGGTCTTTTAGTTGCTTGTCATCCTTCAGAATTGTTCCATTGCATTTTAACCATCTTAAACCATATACAGTGGTAGTGCCCAGGTTCTTCAGCAGGGTACGAGCTGAGTGTTGTTCTCACACAGAAACATTTGGATTTTGAATTAAAAAAAACTAGTCAACACAGTTTCCTGGATATATAGTATTAGAAAAACCATAGAAGGGTCTTTTAGTTGCTTGTCATCCTTCAGAATTGTTCCATTGCATTTTAACCATCTTAAACCATATACAGTGGTAAAAATACTTAAACGTTATGTGAGGCACCACTGTAATTTGGGGGAAATACTTCATTTCTATATGACAAAGTTCTTAGGTATAAAACAGGAAGAGAACTGAAACTTAACTTTGAGCAGATTTAAATAGATATAATAGTTTATTCTGTTTTTATGTCTTCTGTCTTATATGCTTTAGTCTATCCATTTATCACCGTACAACCACAGATGAAATTCTGTTAGAAGTGGAGGGTTCTGTGCCCCATGCATTTATTTGTCAGTCCATACAATCCCCAACATGCAATTGAAAGCAATGAAGCATCTGTTTGTGCAGTGTAAAGTTCAAGTGCCCAAGAAAGAACAACCACATGTGCCAATGGAACATTGTGCACACTTTTTAAAGAAAGAGGATTCTGTGCAATGTCTTTACATCAGTGGTCCCCAACCTTGGGCCTTCAGATGTTCTTGGACTAAAACTTCCAGAAGCATTCACCACCACCTCTGCTGGCCAGGATTTCTGGAAGCTGAAGTCCAAGAACATCTGGAGGCCCAAGGTTGGGGACCACTGCTTTATATCATCTTTATAAATATTTTGCTAGTGTTTGTTATTTATAAAATTACTTCCTGCCCTGAATGTCTATGGATTGTTAACCTAATAGGAGCCTCGTGGCGCAGTGGTTAAATCGCTGTACTGCAGCTAAAACTGTGTTCACGACCTGGGGTTCAAATCCCAGGTAGCCGGCTCAAGGTTGACTCAGCCTTCTATCCTTCCGAGGTCGGTAAAATGAGTACCCAGCTCGCTGGGGGGGCAATGTGTAGCCTGCATAATTAAATTGTAAACCGCCCAGAGAGTGCTTGAAGTGCTATGGGGCGGTATATAAGCAGCACGCTTTTTGCTTTGCTAATAAACAGTCCCTGAATGTCTATGGATTGTTAACCTAATAAACAGTATAAAATACCGTTCATCTTCCCCATATAACATACCTCCCTCATGCTTTATGTATATGATTATGTATTTTTATGGATGGATGGATAGATAGATGGACTGATTATGGAATATAGAAATCAGTCATATGTGAAAGCAAACTAGTTAAATTCATTGAAATGGTACTGATACTTCCAACGGTTGAATATTTAATTGGAGCTTATATAAAACTGTCCAAGTACTGCTCAATGAAAATATATTTTTGGAGTTAGCAGCTTTACATTTAGCTGTTCAGGAAAGAGTGCACGGCCAGGCCTAGTGAGATGTATTTCTTTTTGCAGATTGATCTTGGAAAGCATTAAATCAAGAGAGCATTGCTTATAGACATAAGCCACAAATCAAAGGTGCTTTTGAAGGAACTGGTGCCCTCTCTTCATGTATCTGCATGTTGCTTAGTGACCACCACCTAAGCCTTTCCTGTAATGTTCTTATTTCTCTTTTCCATTTTGTTGATTGCTGTGCCATATTTTTGGCTGAGCTTTCAACCAATTTAAAATGCAAAGATTTCCTAGCTTTCACAGAATTGCCAATTACTCTTGTTACACGTTGTACCTCTTTAAATGGGTTTCCTTATGGAGTTATCCTGGAGTGTGTCTCTGTGTCAGCCACATTGCATCAGCACAGAGCAATCAGTAATTCACATTGGTGGCTGCTGCTAATGGACTGGAAGGAGCAGTATAGGTGGTATAGACTTAATCAGCATCTGTATTGTCAAATTGGGGGTACTTTGTCTTGAATGCTCCCCTTCCCTTAATACTCTGGGATTTGTCAGTGTTTCACTAACTGTGACTGTGTTATTCACTTGAATCTTTTTTCATGCCATTTTTATTTTGTTCTCCAAGTCTATTATTATTTCTTGTTGTTACATTTATGCTGAGCTCAAAGCAACATACTCATCTCTCCTCCTCTCCCTACTTTATCTTCACAACAACCCTGTGAGGTAGGTCACACAGAGAGATTGGGCCAAGATCAACCAGTCTATTTCATGACTGAGGAGGGATTTGAATTCAGGTCTCTGAAGTTCCATCTGCTTGTTGCAACAGAATTATTAGATATTTCGAAAGCAAAAGAGAAACCCTTTTAAATTAACAAACAGTTAACAGACCTTTTCCTAGACAATGTTGTTATAACCGTTCTGGCTTATTGCAGATGCAGGTTCCAGTGTGGAAGAAGCAGAATTTAATTGGGATGAATATTTGGAAGACACAGGAGCAATAGCTGCACCACATGGCTCTTTTAAACATGTAAGTTGGCGTCTGGTCAGTCTCTTTTCTATCAGCCAGATTTGTTCCTCTCTCCTGTTATTTTTTTACATTCTTTACCATTTAGTCTAAAAAATAATATTACAGAATATGAAAGTGTTTACACTATTTGAATATACTTGGAGTAACATAATAAAACATGTGGCCTTAATGTTGTTTTTTGTATTTTGTGTTTGTGTGTGTGTGTGTAGCATTGTTGCAGTTGCTCTTTTTGTATCTTAAGTGTCACTCACTACCCTGTTTTCCCTAAAATAAGATCTAACCTGAAAATAGTATAATTTTTAGGATGTAATATAAGCCCTACCCCCAAAATAAGCCTCAGCTAAGTGAAACCCTGCCGTCCACCATTGTGCAACAACCAGAAGAAGATATGACTATATTTGAATAAATGTAGATTGTTGTACATGTAAAAATAAAACATCCCCTGAAAATAAGCCCTGATGCATTTTTGGAGCAAAAATTAATATAAGACCCTGTCTTATTTTATGGGGAAACACGGTACAGGTGGGGCTTCTGTCATATCTTTTACTGACATCTCCTTTCTCTCTTTCTTTACTTTTCATTTTGATTGCTTTGTATCAAAACTGAGGTAGACATTAAGTAAGGGTCTTGGCAAGGGTCCTTACAAAGGAGTTTGCTACTGTTGATGGTTTGCATTAGTAGACAATATAACTCAAAGGTTCTGTGGTAATGTTTGGATATGAGCAGTGCTGCAAAGTGCAGTTTGATAGTAGCCTCAAATCATGGATAGTACGTTTAACTGTTGGAATCCTATAAGAAGAAACTAGTCCTTTGTTGGAACAATTGCTTGAGCAAAGTGCTGGAATTTAGGGTACTGCCTGTTTTCTTCCCTAATTCTCTAGATATGCTTTGTTGAGCATCATAATGGAAGAAGTGGGCAACTTGTTGAACAAAAGGGCTGCCTGTATTGCTGTGTTTACTAGTGCTAAATGGTTTGAAGTCCTTGCCACTGTCTTTGTAATAATAGTACAGTACCAGTAATGAGAGCCAGTTGTTGCTCAACAGATCATCTCACACCAGGAAATTTCTGTTCTTTGAGATGAACAGATAACAAGATTAGGGAGGGGAGGGGAATCAGTCTTTAGCCAGGTATTGTAATGTTTCGTATACGTTGATTGTATCTTAATATTTAGGAAACTCATATTTTAGGAGTCTGTAGCTGTATCTGCACTGCAGTCTTGCATCAGTCAGGTACCACTCTTTAACTGTCATGGCACCTCCTTTGGACTTTTCTGCTATAGAGCTCTAGTGTACTCCTGGGAACTACAGCAGAAACTGACCAGACTGCAAAATCCCAAGGTTCTTCTTTGTGGTCTCTGTGAATGCACACGATTGGGTTTTAGTGCACCTGCGCAGAGACTCTTGGAAACTTCTAGAGTTTTTAAGGTAGAAGCCATAGCAACTAATGTCAAACTGCTGTGACTATACTGCAAATATACCTTCAGGCTACTGTTTCCAGCTTCCTTATGTGCACTAACCAACCACCACAGAGTTCTTCGTGGTCTCTGTGAATGCACACTACAGGGTTTAATCTGCGTTTGCGCAGAGGTTTCCAGAATATTCTAAAGCTTTGTCACACCAGGACCACCCCCAAGTAAACGTGGTCTGCCTGTCCTGGTGATTACCTTTGTTCCTTTTTACCGCGGCTGAGGTTTTATCTCATGACGAGCTCTCCGTTTGCCTTGCTTCTAATTATTTTTTCCGAAAAAGAAAGTTAGAGGGAAATCAGTAAGAGACTCTTCAACTGTTTTTTCCTTCTACCGACCGCCCCCTCCCTTCCCCTTCCTCCCCCTTCCCACCATTTTATGGCCTCCACAAGGCCATTCAAACAGTGCACATTGTGCCCTAATAAGACTCCCCTCTCTAATTGACACCTGTCTTTTCTGCCTCGGGGAATCACACCAACCCTCATCATGTCAAGCCTGCAGAAATTTCACAAAGCAGGCTCTCAAACTTAGGCAACAATGCCTTAGATCTTTCCTTTGGGAACGTTCCCTCTGTCCACTACCGACTTCGATGGAGGCCACACCAACTTCCCAAACTCTGGCTGCTGCCTCCTCCGACGTACCTTCCATCTCTCCGACGTCCAAACAGACTTCCTCGAAATCTAAATCTAAGCTCTCCTTGAAACCTAACACTTCGGGATTGACGTCAGAATTGACACCGACATCTTCAACTTCAAAGCACTCTAAGCCGAAAAAATCTAATTCACCATCTTTTCTGTAGACCTTGTGTCTCAAAACTGACCTCCGACTGGGACACAAGGTCTACAGAAAACCCACCCAGACAGACAGGTACCTACACAAAAACTCCAACCACCACTCACAGCAAAAAAGAGGCATAATCAAAACACTGGTAGACCATGCAAATCGGAACTGTGAAGCTCAGTTTCTCAGCACTGAACTCAACCATCTGAATTGGGCCCTACAGGGAAATGGCTAATCCAAAAATGAAATCACAAGAGCCATCAAACCAAGAAAACAACACTGAACTGAAGAAGAAAAACAGCCACCCACAAATAAAGTATTTCTGCCATACATCAAAGG